TTACGTTACGTTACGTTACGTTACGTTACGTTACGTTACGTTACGTTACTTCGTTACTTACGTTACGTTACTTCTACTTACTCTACTCTCTCTCTCTCTCTCTCTCTCTCTCTCTCTCTCTCTCTCTCTCTCTCTCTCTCTCTCTCTCTCTCTCTCTCTCTCTCATTTATTAATCTATCTCATATCACAATGATGTGTAAACATCATCACCCATCATCCATGTATTTATTTCCTCCACATCATATCATCAAGGATTCTCTTGTTCTATTTTGAGGAAGATCTCTCTCTCCAAAGAAAATCTCTTTTCACTCTCTCTCATCATAAATAATTTTGACAAACTCATTAGATGATGCATCATGCAATGAATGAGATGCTCCCACATGATAACATCGCTCGTATATATTTCTTCTCGATATTTTGAAGCATCAGGTATGTGGTGTGGTAACTGTTACAGTCATGTAGTTCAATTTTTTATGTCATTTTGCAGTGAAAGACGAAAATGTTATATGTTCTTTGTTAGACATTTGTCTCTCTGACACACATGTCTGTCAGATATACAAATCAGTATCTAGTATGGTGGTTGTATACGAGTCCTTTGAGCATGCAACTCAGAGACTTGAAAAGTGTAATTCTGATCTGGCTGTGTCCTCGGGGTGTACCTGTTGGGACTGATTACATCTTGGAATTTTTCTGAGTTCGGGGTGCTTAATATTTCGAAGAAAGCAAACCCATCTCCTGCCTCCAGATCTATTGTCCATAAACTCCGAACAAAGACCTAATCCATACAGGAGTTGATTGGAAGTAAGAGTATTGTTATACACTCAACAAACCGGACCTAATCCCAATAGGGTTAACTCGGAGTAAGAGTGTTCTTATCTTGATAAACTTCAGACCAGGACCTAATCCCTAAGGCGGTTAACTTAGCCCTAAAACCCATATTGACATTGAATTAGGTCAAAGGAAGATTAAGCTCGAATTTTGGTTCTAGGAAAATAGAAAAATCAATAACTTGGACGTAAAACAACCGATGTAAATGCAAACCATAACATAGATACAGAGACACTCAGGAAATATTATTAAAACTGATACTGAGAGTGTTGCTTGCATAAAAACATGTTTAAGAAAATAAACTATGAGAGATATCCTTTAAAATACATACGCATACCTTGACAATGATTCGATAAGAGTCAATGCAGATCCATTATAGCTCTGAGGTAAATGCTCAAGCTGAAAAGTGAATGTGTGAATGGAGATGAGAAGGAGATGCAGATCCTGAGATGAATGCATAAGTATCATGGGCCAAATAGAAATTTCTTAAGCAATATACAAACCTTAAGATTTCCGAGCTCGCTTAGAGAGTCTGTGAAAGACTTTGATAGAGGCTTCAATTCATCATGCTGCAGAACGATAAACGGTAAACCAATAATTCTTCTCAGAAATCTAATAACAGTGGAAGGGTAGATGAACTAACCGGAAAGGCATAGGTCAGGTAGTTGTCATACGCATGATAAAACCTGTTACAGAAAAAGCATTAGATGGTGAAATTTAGGATGGTTCGTTTACATAAAATGAAAATAAAATGATCAGCAAACAAGGTGTTCAAGTAATATACTACTTGAATGATCACATCCAAAAGAGTATACATCTCACATGCATAGGTTGATGTTTCTCTTTGCTATTGATCATATTCAAGAATGTGAATAAAGTTATTGATTTTCAACTAGCTATTAGGTAATACCAGATTGTTGCAATTATACCAGACCCTAAAAACTTAATGTCCAAATTTGATTACAAGTCCTATTACTTTCTTACTAAGTTATCCAAACCTCTTATCTAACAGGGTAAATACATGAAATTCCCTTCATCCAAAACTAAGTGTTGCTCATCCAAAGGCCAATCAAGAATGCCATGCATATCTCAGTAGATGATAATTCACAGAAAAAATTGTGGTTGTATTTTCCAAGAAAAAAAACCAAAATCCATGAGCTCATTGAATGGAATATGATTTGCGGATAGATGATCAGCAAGTTCATCCCTACAATATAAAAAGAATGAACTCTAACTAAAAAATCGAAACTTATGTCTGTCTTCACGGTTGACCGTATTTCTTAGTAAATAGTTTTTATAAGAAAAAGGAACCAACGAGAATGATCTAAAGAAATTTCTTTAACAAACCATAATCTTGAGGATTTGGACTAAAAAAGTGAACATGGCAAGTTAGTGAACTAATTGATCGGATTGAAATTCCTTTAATACTGGTCCTCTCTATAATATATTGCAAATCGTGGTGAACATATGTGTTCTAATGCACATGCTCACCGCACTAAGAAACTCACAGAGTCCTAATAGGTAAGTTCTCCTTCGAAAAATCAATATGAAGAAGGAATCAGCATTGACGTCAAACAAAATTATAAAAGCCAGAAGAAATGTAAACATTTCAATAAATTTCACATCATGTTGCTAAGCGCTTTAAATACAGGCAAAATATACCATAGATGACCTTCATTGCATTTTTGCCTTCAATCACCACATTATTGACTTAGAACATATTTTCTAAAGCATTAGAAATTCAATTCAGACACCTAACCTTTCTGAATGTTCTCCAGGAATGTAACAAATGGACTTGCTGGACAAGTAGAATAGATGCTGCTACAAAATGGATGGTATAAGTTTTTTGAAAGGTCATGAAATAGGATTTTAATTAATACAAACAAGTAGGAAATGAGTGTGCTAATTTTAAAGGAGAAGTTAAAGGTAAAAGAGAAACGAACAACCATCAGGAGATTTTGAAAAACAATGGTGCTGACTGAATTGAGAACAAAACAAGGAAAGAGTAACGAGGTAACAAATAGTGGGGCAAAGAATGGAGGCAACCTGCACTAGAAAAGGTAAATTGCATACATGCTTCCTCAACGAACTACAAGGGAGGAAAGAAGGCAAAAGATGAATTTGGAGACATTTGGTTTTTCTTTTTGACAGTCGACCTGGACTACAAGGGATATTAGGGTGATATGAATCCAGAGGCAAGAAGAGAAAGATATCTATAAATTTGCAGTGTCTATAAAGGGCAAAAGGAAGTGGGTGGGTATGGCTTTGAACATACATAAAAATGATGTTCATAAACTTTATACTCCACAAGTCACATGCATATACATATGTAGTGACTGATGTGGCTATGCAGAATTTCAGCCTGTAAATTCAAAAATTTATTTATTTTCTTTTATCAATTGCTGGAAATTCTACTTACACATGTCACAAATACAATAAAATTGGACTACTATAATTTACAAACTTAATAACTTACTGAAAAGACAAACTTTTATTCAAACTGAATATAAACTAACAATTTTAGGAAATAAAATAAGGCAAGAACAACAAGAAATAAAATTAAATGATTGAGGGGAGACTTACTAACTTTTGCCTAGGGTGACCCCCTTAGGGCTTAGCACACCCCACACTTCGACCACTTGACCAATGGCGCACCTGATTCCTAACACTACTAAATCCACAAATCTTAACCTAGGGAAGAAACTCCGGAACACCTTTATCCGAAACCATAGGGCTGAGAGCATGGGTCACAATTAAGATTTCACAAAGAACCCTTTTAAACCTTGGGCCATGCCACAATCAGCACCTCCCCTTAATCTAAAAGACTAGGGCTAGGCGTGGCCACACTTTCTAACCCCTCTTAGAGGTCTTGCCACCCCAACTCATATGGGGGGTGGCGTGCCACCTATTTGAGAGGGGAAAGAGAGAGAATAGAGAGAGAGACGAGAGAATGGAGAGGCATGGGGGGAACAGAGATAGATGTAAGAGATGTGTAGAGAATAAGGAGGTCCACCTCCTATTTAGAGGCCCCAAAGGGGCCCAGGGAGTCCTAGTTAGATTAGGATTCAACGGTATCTAAAATATTTAGGTAATATGTGAGGTGAGACATAGAATTAATCAGATCCATTCTTCTCCAATATCAGCTATCATAACCTAGAGTGAGTATTTAGGAACCTTATCCCCTGATATTTGACCTATATGGACTACTAAATAATTTAAATTTTGTCTCATCACAATCTTATCTTCTAGGAAATTCTAGAATAATTCAGAATATTCCAGATTTCCTATTCTCCAAAATAAGGGATAATTAGAAAATAAATTAGTGATCAAAATCTAGATCCCCTTAAATCTCTCACAAAATATTTCATAAGATATTTTCAACTAAGAAAATTAATATTTTCAAAATAAAATACTGGCATCTTTATGTAGGGCATGTGGCCCAGGTGGGCCCCACACGTCCCACCCTTGTGGACCCCACAAGTGCTGGATGTCCGGCCCTTAGCCCCCTCCATGTGGATCCCACCTAATAAAATGAATTTCCTAAAATACCCTTATAGGATCTTTACAACAATACACTTTAGGGGCTTTTTATGCATTTAAGAACAATTTTTAACTTCTGAACATATCCAAAAGTCATAGTATCCCAAATTTAGTTGAAAACAATATTTCTACAGTTCCACAACAATGTAAAACAAAAATACAACTTGAAGTGGATAGGTACCTAATATGTCATAAACAAGTGAATGTTAGAGCACTCCACCTGTGCAAGGATCCATGATCCACTGTTGTATTCTCAGACCAACCCAAGAAGACCCATAACCCATAGTCAAGTGCTAGGGCTCATGATTGGCCTATCAAAGCTGACCAATAAACAATGCAACCATAGTCTTAATATATAGATCATAGGATCCTCCCTTAAGAGCAAGTCAAAAACTGCACATATCACTGATGTGCAGGGCGCTCTTTATGCACATGCACATGTGTCCTTCTATATAGGGTTGCTTCCCAAAATAATATTGTCATGTGCACATGCCGTGCAAAAAATTTTTTAGGATTTGGCCCTTTCTTTCACAGGCTCTTCCTCTGCACACAAGAGACCACACAACTCTCCTGGTCTACAAACACAACCCTGGGCATCTTTTCGACCCCAAAAAGGGACGATCCACTATAAACCCTCAACAATAGTGCTACATGCTCAGGGGTAAGGGTTTTGGATATAACCTGGGCCATAGACCGCCCAACCCAAGGTCAGTCAAATCCATGCACTCTCACTAAAATACAATATCCACTATAATTAATTTTATTTGCATGCTCTCTAGGCCAAAAAAGCCACAAGCCCCAACATGTAATACACATACATGTCTAGATACAAGCAAACGTGAGCATCCTACGGCAGCATTTTTGTTACAATTAGTAACTAAGGATTCAATCTGGACGTTTACTACTAACACAAGCATCCCTGCATCTATGGTGCACACATGAAACACATAATGGAACAGCGAACACACAGATCTATGAGGGTGGGGGTGTTCTTTATACATTTCAAATTACAAAAGAGCCAAAGTGATGCGGACTGGGACTTGCGAGATGTTGCCGGGAATCTCTCAACCAACAAGTTAGAGTAGGAATCACTCATGTCGGAAAGGAGGAATCAAACAACTCCAAGGACAACAGAAAATTGTTAGCAACAACTGATATTTTTTCATTCAAAATTCATCATTCTCTTGACATTCATTGTATAACCCTTTTATAAACTAAAAATCTAAGTCTATTACAAACTCAATAACCTAAGCATACATGTTTCTAAAGACCCCCTAATCAAGTCCCTATACATTGGAAGACCAAAACCCACCTTTGGAACTCTTAAAATAATAACTACATGCAAAACTAACCAATTACCCATGCAACATAAATTCCAATGCAAAATATATTGACTTAATGCAAGACTCATATTTTCCATACACACTATCTTCCATAGTAAAATAAACTCATGCCATGCAACATGTAATACCCAAGTCCAAGGTAACAACCACATTAACTAGGCATCCACCTTGGCACTTACTAGAAGCGTAGGCCCAGGGCTACATCATTCCCCTCTTGGAAAGAACTCGACCTCGAGTTCATTGTGAGGTCTTTCCAAAGTTGCTTCAACTCTTCTTTGAGGGGCAGTCTTCTTACGCTTGTATCATACGCCCCTTGTTGGAGAAAATCCATCATCATATTTTGAAGTGGGTTAAAATGAAGCCAATGCCAATGCTCTTCCACGACACCACTCTGATTTTATTGGCATTATACTCCATGAGTTTGTGAATGCATAATTCCAATGAATTGTCTTCAACAAGAAACATAATCACCTGTTTTGGAACAAATAAAAAATCAAACACATTGCAACCTTTACCAAAAATATTCGGCACTGCTTGATTACAAAACCCCTTCATATCAATCTTGGCAAATACAACAACGAAATTTGTAAGGAAAAAAAAAATTTCCCTATAAGAAACTTCATTCTGCATTGGTACACAATTTACTGCTTTGCCTCTATCAAGAGCATGCTTCTTTGTCCAAATAAGGAAAGCCCATTCTAGTTCACCATACCATTCAAGAGATAACGCATCTTCTCCATAGATTGCCATTGGTTCTAATCCTTTATGTACAAGGTCATGTATGACATGAATGTTATAAGCATATACCGAATTGCATGCCAACAACATGAGCCATACTTAACTGCCAACAACAATAGAACTGGATTCGCATGTCTATCATCGAGGAATACGCACTTTTCCCCAATTTTGATGAGACCCAATTCAAGAAAGCAAGAGAGAAATGTGATCCAAATTACTTCATCTCTCATAAAAACCTTATCCATCATGTTTAGTCCACATGGAAAATTGTTACATTTGTAATACATGTGCATAATATTATTGTCCATAAACATACCTGAGATTATTCGCTTTACGAACTTCAAAAAGGGTTAAGAGGAAACATGTGTTGCAGCCGCAACCTCTTCCTATTAGAACTTGGTGTGTTGTTATTGGGACTCTCCACTGAAAACAAAGCAATAGCCCAACAAAATCACCACCATCTTAACCATCATAATCACCGTCACCAACATCATCTTCCTTGCCATTACTCAGTTCTTCATTGAACATAGGACTTTCTTCTTTCTTTTCATCAAATGTAGGATTACCAACTTCTTCATCCTGGATTGATTCTTCTACCAAACTCGAATCCTCATCAGGATACACGTCAAAGATTGGTGGTAAGTCCCAATTTACGACTTCCAAACTTCGTGAAAAGAAAGATGAGAATAAAGGATTGTTGTGGGTTACTTTAGCAGCCATTGCACACAATTGCAGTGTCTAGGGTCTTCTCTGATACCAAATGATACAGACGGGACCTGCGGGATGTTGCCGGGAATCTCTCAACAGACAAGGCAAGGGCAGAACCACTCACACTGGAAAGGAGGAATCACTCAACTCCAAGTGCAACAGAAAATTGCTTGCAACAAATGATATCTTTTCATTCAAAATCCGTCATCCTCTTTTCAGCCATTGTCTAACCCTTTTATAAACTCAAAACCCAAGTCTTTTCTAAAGATCCCCTAATCAAGTCCCTATACAATAGAAAACCAAAACCCACTTTTGGAACTCTTAAAACAATAACCGCATGCAAAACTAACCTATTACCCATGCAACATAAATTCCAATACAAAATACATCGATCGACTTTAATGCAAGACTCCTATTTTCAATACACACTATTTTACAAAGTAAAATAAACCCATGCACATGCATCATGCAATACCCAAGTCCAAGGTAACAACCACATTGACTCGTTGTCCACCTTACTAAGTGCGTAGGCCCAGTGCAGCATCACCAAGTTAAAAGATAAGAAAGGTCGAAAAAATCATTTTAGTGATGTTTCATTATTACGTGTTGATGATTTAAGTGTAAGGTACGACCTAGAGTTCCTTTTTCCAATTACACAAAGCTCATTTGTCGAGTTCGAGCAAAAAGCAAATTGATACTATTCAGCACATCAGGTACTCATTGATGAAAACATATGTAACTGCCCCCAAAAAAAAAAAAAAGCTACATCTGTGGTTTTGCCCTTTCTTCTTCTTGTTTTCTTTGTTCTCCCGCCAACCCCTTTCTGTTATGTATACGGAGCATCCAGGTCGTGGGCTGCCTTCACCTTGCTTAATTAATATGTAATTCTTCTTCATTCATAAAGTTAACCGATTCTCAAAAAAAAAGCTACATCATTTGCACCGCTGCTTTTATATATCCCACTGAAGTTGTTAAACAAAATTGCAAAACTAATCCAAATGCAACTCCTGATGCTTTCAATGATTTTTGCAGTGAAGTTCGACTTCCTTTGTGTACAATTTGTAATGTTATGAATTCTCTACAAGAATATTCTAATTTTTAGGAATAAATCAAGTGTGTCGAGATATAACCAGTTGTTATGTTAGCCCTCTGCCTCCTTTTCTATTTCTAGAGGAACCCAAACGATAAAGCAAATAAACTTTTGTTTCCCAAAAAACCAATGAAACCAATTCAATTCAACTCTAGGAAAATTGTATTAGTGAAATTTAGAATCCAGAGCAGAGCAAATAGAAAAGAATTATAGAGAGAGAGTAACAAAACAAGAAACCCATTAAAGAAAATCCACTAAACACTCACATTTTTCTGGCCTCCTGGCTCAAATACTTCCTTTTAGCAGCTATATATGGTCATTGAAGTCGGACATGGCGAAACCACACGGCAAAGGCAGAGTTATGATGCAGAGAGGAACCCATCGTCTCACTAGATTCATACAACTGGGGAAGGCCATGGATCCGAGAATCCTCTCTCTCTACATAGCAAGCGGCAAATTGCCCCCCTTTTGTCAAAATCTGAATTCCAGGGGAAGTTTAGAGAGACAAAATGCAGTGTTTGGAGAGAGCACCTCCTGTGTAGCTGATAGAATTATTGACAGCGCCACGCCAGGGTAAGGGGATCTTTCCCCATCGAGCTATCGAGAAAAAAACAGAAAAAAAGAGGAAATTTTTTTTTGCAGAGCCGAATATTTTATTTTAATAATGTGTCCGCCTCATACAAGCAACCGATGATCCATTTTGCAAGCTTTCAACATGGTAAGGTTGTTTTTCTTCTTTTTTTTGTTGGTTTTTTTGTAATACTGTTTCCACGTCATACAAGCAACCGATGATCCATTTTTGCAAGCTTTCAACATGGTAATGATGTTTTACCTTTTCTTCCTTTTTTTTGGTTTTTCTTCATCCTAGTGTAAAGATTATTCACCAAACAAGGTGGGGTTTCCCTCATACAAAATACCTCATCTTATTCAACAAGGGTATGGGTTTTATTCTTATGATTTCCCTGCTTTTTTCCTCTAGATGGTACTGATTTTTTGAGAGAATTGTTAATTGGAGCTGATTTGTTAATTACCAAATATTTTTCCTACGATTTCCCCATGAAAATTTGTTGCTTTTTTTTATTTTTTGCTTATTTTATTGAGTATTGGAGAACAAATTGCTACGTAGAAAAATGTGAGTATGGGTTTTTTTGTTGTTTTATTTTTATGTTGTCTCTTTTTTTGTTTCTTGCTGAGTATAGTAGCAGCATTATGATTTCAATGTATTTTGTCTGTCATTCGATGTTAATTTGAGTGTTCTTTGGTGAATTATTTGATTTGTTGTTGTTGGACTTTGGTTCCTAAGAGGTTGTTAATTTTTTTTATTTGAATTTTGTTTGTATATTCTCCTGTAAAATGGTTTTATTGTATGTTGCATCGCTGTTACTATCGTATTATTATCTCATCTATCAATGGTCTTACATCGATTTTGATGTGCTTTCTCTCTGTTAGTTATTGATATTTTATTTATTGTCCTATGTGTTTCAATACAAATTCTAGAAATTGTAGATTTTTTCAATGTGATTATTTTACAATAAAAAAGAGTATAAGGAAGAACAGATCACATGTGTTGGTATATCATTGACATGCCTATTTTGTAATAAATTGTATGGGGTAAAGTGTGAAAGATGAAGATAATTGACCATTTTAATTACCCATATCTAAAAAACAATTGATTACTATGTTTCATGATTCTTTCATGAACAAGTTTTACTTTTGTTGAACACAACTATTCTCTTGAGCATGCTCTTATAATCTTTCATATTATATTGTAGATGTGATATGTATGATGCACAGTGGCATAATGTACAATACTTTAAGGATTGAATTACTTGTTTTGAGACTCTTAGAGCTTTGTCTGTAATATACTATCAGTATAGTATTTGTCACTCGTGCTGTTATTGCATTTTATGGCTTTGTCTTTCGTTGATCTCATAGTTAAAAATGGTTATGTTTGATATTTTGTCAAACAACTCAAATACTAGTTTGATATGGAACCTGTTCTTATCGATTCATTTTTTTTCTTGTTTTTCATCACCATGTATTCCCTTATAGGTGCCTTTAAAGAAAGACAATGGCCAAACTGCACTGGTCCCCCTTTTCCAAAGCCAGGAGAACATTGTTGGGGAGGTAAGTCACTTGTTGCTTAGGCAATGTTTGACAGCCGAGTAGTCTGCCGACTCACATGTCTGTTGCAATGAATCGTGGACATCTTCTCAGTATTTTTCTATTTATTGAGATTGTGTTTTAATTCCTGTAGTGGAAAGGATTTTAGCTAACTTATATGGGTCCATTTTTTTCTTCATCAACCTACTTTTACTATTTTGGTCAAGGGATGCTTGTAGTGTTATTTTCTCCGCATCGTATGGTTGCTGCAATGAACTGATCATGACAGCATTCTACTCTTATTCTATAATTTTGTCATGGCATGCAGGTCTCGATTGAACGAATCCAAGGAAAGAAGGTTGAACATAATGGTGTGAAAATCAACCTTCTTGGCCAAATAGGTAAGTTCAACTATGAAGCTCTAGTTTAATATAGTAACTTGCAATCTGAATTCTAGGATCAAGAGGCTGTTTAATAATTTGCATACCTATATCTTGAGGCTTGTTGAAATTTCATGTTTTTATCCCTAGAAATAATAGCACAAAGCCTTTATGCTTTCATTTGGTAATGCATGAATGATTAAATATTAAATAACAGATATCCAAAAACTTGCAAGTATTAGATGACCAAGTGTTTAATTAGTTTGATGAGTGCAAGGGGAATCTAGAGCCAGATTAATCTGAAAAGTAGTTACTGTAGAGACTGAAGTGAAGGTTTCTTAATTCTCCTGTCCATGCTCCTAGTCACCTATTCACTCCCAAGACTGTCAATCTAGATTTGAACCAACGAAGTCATGCCCTGTATGAGTTCATCACTTGCCTAAATTGCAGACAAAGCTCTAAGAGTCTCAAAACAAGTAATTCAATCCTTACATTATTGTACATTATGCCACTGTGCATCATATATATCACATCTACAATATAATATGAAAGATTATAAGAGCATGTTCAAGAGCATAGTTGTGTTCAACAAAAGTAAAATTTGTACATGAAAGAATCATGAAACATAGTAATCAATTGTTTTTTAGATATGGGTAATTAAAATGGTCAATTATCTTTATCTTTCACACTTTACCCCATACAATTTATTACAAAATAGGCATGTCAATACCAACACATGTGATCTGTCATGTGATCTGTTCTTCCTTATACTCTTTTTTATTGTAAAATAATCACATTGAAAAAATCTACAATTTCCATAATTTGTATTGAAACACATAGGACAATAAATAAAATATCAATAACTAATAGAGAGAAAGCACATCAAAATCGATGTAAGACCATTGATAGATGAGATAATAATACTGCAGTAACAGAGATGCAACATACAATAAAACCATTTTACAAGAGAATATATAAACAAAATTCAAATCAAAAAAATTAACAACCTCGTAGGAACCAAAGTCCAACAACAATACACCAAATAATTCACCAAAGAACACTCAAATCAACATCGAATGACAAACAAAATACATCAAAATCATAATGCTGCTACTATACTCAACAAGAAACAAAAAAGAGAAAACAGAAAAATAAAACAACAAAAAAAACCATACCCACATTTTTCTACATAGCAATTTGTTCTCTTGTACTCAATAAAATAAGCCAAAAATAAAAAGCAACAAATTTTCATAGAGAAATCATAAGAAAAATATTTGCATTGGTAATTAACAAATCAGCACCAATTAACAATTCTCTCAAAAAACCAGTACCATCTAGAAGAAAAAAGCAGGGAAATCACAAGAATAAAACCCATATGAGGTATTTCGTATGAGGGAAACCCCACCTTGTTTGGTGAATAATCTTTACATTACGATGAAGAAAAACTAACAAAAAAACAGAAAAGAAAAAACAATCTTACCATGTTTGAAGTTTGCAAAATGGATCCTCGGTTACTTGTATGAGGCGGACACAGTATTTAAATAAACCAAGAAAGAAAAAAAGAAAAAAAGAAAAAACAACCTTACCATGTTGAAAGCTTGCAAAATGGATCATCGATTGCTTGTATGAGGCAGACACAGTATTAAAAAAAATATTTGGCTCTGCAAAAGAATTTCTTTTTTCTTCTTTTTTTTTTTTTTTTTTTTTTTTTTTCCTTTTTCCGACAGCTCAATGAGGAAAGATGCCCTTACCCTAGCCGGCACGTTGGGCAGAACCACTCACACTGGAAAGGAGAAATCACTCAACTCCAAGTGCAACAGAAAATTGCTAGCAACAAATGATATCTTTTCATTCAAAATCCGTCATCCTCTTTTCAGCCATTGTATAACCCTTTTATGAACTCAAAACCTAAGTCTTTTCTAAAGATCCCATAATCAAGTCCCTATACATTAGAAAACGAAAACCCACTTTTGGAACTCTTAAAACAATAACCACATGCAAAACTAACCTATTACCCATGTAACATAAATTCCAATACAAAAGACATCGATCGACTTTAATGCAAGACTCCTATTTCCATATACACTATTTTCCAAAGTAAAATAAACCCATGCACATGCATCATGCAATACCCAAGGCCAAGGTAACAACCACATTGACTAGTTGTCCACCTTGGCGCTTACTAGGAGCGTAGGCACAATGCTGCATCACCAAGTTAAAAGATAAGAAAGGTCGGAAAAACCATTTTAGTGATGTTTCATTATTACGTGTTGATGATTTAAGTGTAAGGTACGACCTAGAGTTCCTTTTTCCAATTACACAAAGCTCATTTGTCAAGCTCGAGCAAAAAGCAAATTGATACCATTGCACACATCAGGTACGCATTGATGAAAAAATATGTAACTGTCCAAAAAAAATAAACTAAAAAAAAGAAGCTATATCTGTAGGTTTGCCCTTTCTTCTTCTTGTTTTCTTTGTTCTCCCCCCAACCCCTTTCTGTTATGTATACTGAGCACCCATGTTGTGGGCTGCCTTCACCTTACTTAATTAATACGTAATTCTTCTACATTTATAAAGTTAACCGATTCTCAAAAAAGAAGCTACATCATTTGCACCGCTGCTTTTATATATCAAGTTGTTCAACAAAATTGCATGATTAATCCAAATACAACTCCTGATGCTTTCAATGATTTTTGCAGTGAAGTCCGACTTCATTTGTACACAATTTGTAATGTTCTGAATTCTCTACAAGAATATTCTAATTTTTAGGAATAAACCAAGTGTGTCGAGATATAACCAGTTGTTATGTTTGCCTTTCTGCCTCCTTTTCTTTTTCTACAGGAACCCAAATGATATAGTAAATAAACTTTCGTTTCCCACAAAACCAATGAAATGAATTCAATTCATTGTCTAGAAAAATTCCATTAGTGAAATATAGAATCCAGAGCAGAGCAAATAAAGAAGAATTATAGAGAGAGAGTAACAAAACCAGAAATCCATTAAAGAAAATCCACATAAACACTTACATTTTTCTGGCCTCCTGGCTCAAATACTTCCTTTTAGCAGCGATATGGTCATTGAAGTCGGACATGGCGAAACCACAGAGCAAAGGCAGAGTTATGATGCAGAGAGGAACCCATCTTCTCACTAGATTCGTAAACCTGGGGGAGGCCATGGATCGGAGAATCCTCCTCTCTCTCTCTTTAGGTTCCCGCTAACATAGCAAGCCGCAAATTGGCCCCCCTTTTGTCAAAATCTAGGGGAAGTTTAGAGGGAGAAAATACAGTGTTTGGAAATAAATGTGAAAATCTAGGAAATATTTTGTCGATATCGTTTAATTCTTGCTGTATTTAGAGAGGATGAGGTTTCTACAGTGCCTTTTAAAAAAGAGTGCGGTTTGTATAGAGCCGAAGCTTTAAACAATCAACGTAAAGCCCATCTTCAAATAATATCGAGAAATGTGGTTTGAAAATCATTGTGATAGACTTCAAATATATTGTTACCTCTAATTATAAAATTTAAAGCTCCTAATATAGTGTAGATCAAGCAAATCTATAAAAATTTAAAAAATTTGAAAATTGACGGTCTAAAAATATCTTACAAAATATGCTATTTCCAAAACTTTAAATCCATTTTTTTCTCATGTCCATGCATCTTGATGTCGAGATGATCAATTTGACGAAATTTGGGTATCAAAACAACCTCTTCTAGTAAATTTTTTGAGGTAGGATCTACTTTGATTGTTTAGAGCCTCGGCTCTAATTTGATTGTATTTCCTCCCAAAAAAAATTACTTTGGGCATGTTTTTATGGAAAGTTTTTATGATAGTTCTAAAACCTATTTCTTCCACCCATTATGAAATTTATGTAAATCTATGAATACGTAAAAATAGATAGTCTATAGAATATGTTACAATACGTACTATTTTTAAGCTTAAGATCCAATTTTTTTCGCAAGCATAATGATCAAGGTCGAGATGAATGATTTGAAGGTCTTCCGGCACTAGAATTTGAGGCGAGGTCTTAATGTTTTCCATAAAAGCCTAGGCCTTATTTTAACTTTTTCTATTTAAAAAGGTTTTTCATTTTTCCATATGTCTATGGTTATGTTTCAATTTTTTTTGAGTTTTTTATTTTTCTCAAAATAAGGTACATAACTTCCCAAGATACTGTGATACATAAATTTCCAAAACAAAAGGGTTTTCTTTTTTGTTTGACTGAGAGATTGGTTCGGAACTCAAAGTTCCTAACTGAATTTTTCATACCTCGAAGTTCGTAACCAAATTTTTAGTAAGTGAATTGGTCCAAGACTTCAAGTTCCAAACCGGATTTTTACAAAAAGAACGAGCGAAAGAGAGGCTTGAAACTCGAAGTTTTGGATCACTTATATATTTTTAGAATGAAAGACCAATTCAGAACTTGAAACTTATGTGAAGTTTTATGATTTTTAAAAAAGAAAGTATATGATGCTATTGGAATAACACATTGCAAACTTAGTCCTTTGAATAAAAGATCTCTTTAAATAACAAATCTAAAATTTTCCTTTTTGAAACTAATCATCCATAAAACGAAAAGTAATTGGTGCATCAAGAGATAATCTAAAATTTCCTTTTTGAAACTAATCATCCACAAAACGAAAAGTAATTGGTGCATCAAGAGATAAATTTTTATAATAGCATCCCTTGATGCACTCATGGTCATTATCCATCTTATAGATGGATGTGAACTGATGGTGGCCCCACCCAGATTCGAAATTAAGGTTGTTAACATTATATTCAAAAGTCACTTTTTTAACTTTTAAAATTTATTTATTTTTTATATTCATAATCATCATGTTTAGATTTTCAACCTTTAAAGTTTTTTATATCCATATTAAATTAAGGAGATGATTATTTTCAAAAAAAAACAAAAAAAACAAAAATTAAGATTTTGATCTAAATAGGTTAGTTTATATTTTTTATCTAAATAAATTTTTTCATTCTATGGACTAAGTTTCCAATGTGCTCCCTCCGTGGCATATCATTCTCACTTTTTTAAAAAGTGGAGGACTAGTTTGGAACTTCACCCTAAAAAAGATAAGTGACCGGTTCAAAACTTCAAATTCTAAAGTGGCTTTTCACTCATTTTTTAATGAAAACACGGTTTAGAACTTGAACATGTTCTTTAACGATAAATTCGGTTGGAAAATTAAGTTCTTAAAGAATCTATCAGTTTTTTCTGAAAAAAAGGGCCCAGTTCCAATCTTCAAGTTCTAAACCAGGCCATTTTGGGAAAAATCAGGACATGAGAGTCAAACATGAAATGTCAGGACATGAGAGTCAAACTTGAAATATTCGGACATGAGAGTCAAACATGAAATATAGATGATATTTTTAAATACCACAAAAATTTAAGAGACACTTGTGAAAATTTCTTGCAAAATATGAAGCATTGCAAAAACATAGCTTTTTCCACGTATTTTATATGAAAAAATTACTATACATCCCCACTCTTATATATTTTACCTACGCCCCTCATCTCTGATAGCTTTTGCTATAATGTCTTAAGTAAGCTGCTACTCGATTGATTTTTTAGTTTTTTCTGCAAATCATATCAACATGAAATTTGGTGTTGGCATTATTTCAAAGGGGTGCACCAAAAAAATATCTCCAAAAAATAAAATGACCAAAACGCTCTGAAACTTTTAAGGGTATTTTGTACATTTTATTTTTATCAAGAATATTTTTTTATATTTTTTGTAGGTGCGAGCCTAAAAGAGGATTAGAAAATTGGGTGTCAAATATCATTTCTAAAAAAAATTTAAAAATAAAATATTGTTTAAGTATGACATTGCAATTGGGACGTAGGTAAAATTTATAGGGGTTGGGATGCATCGTAAGTTTTCCCTATTTTATTTGGGTGAGCATGATAGTTGGACTAATTGATACTCTTGTACAGTTTTGGGTCGGAAAATGATAGAAAGTAGCAGTACAATTCTCAAAACTCAAAACTCTAGAACTAAACTAATAATAATCATCATCATTATCTTAGTCTTTTTCCAATGTCAAAACTCAAAACTTTAAAACTAAACTAATAATAATCATCATCATCATTATCTTAATCTTTTTCTAATTACGACTCTAGAACTAAACTAATAATAAAAAGAAATAATTAAGCGATGATTATTTCTTTTGATCTGCATTATGGTTTGCCATTAAAGTTGTAGCCCTAGGAAAGCCATATCACCTTACTTTTGATATGCCAGTTGTTCATACTTTGTCCTGCCATATTTTGATTTTTTTTCAAAATTTGTAAGATATGCTCATGTAACATTGAATTTCCAGGTTGAACATTTGCAGTTCTAGGGATGTAAGACATGAGAGATGGAGGGCGTTTTCCATAAACAATGTCATATGTAGATGGTATTATCCCACCATTCAGCCAATAGAAGCCACTGATCCTAATGTTTGGATTGTTTGATGCAAAACGCTATAAGTGGGTGTCCAAATATTTGTTGTCCAATTCGAATTACTCTTAGGTTCAAGTCGGGTAATCCAAATTCATTTTCAATTATGCATCTTGAAACTAAAACAACTCAATTACTTGTGAACGTTGTTCCATGCCTCGCCTGAGTCTACTCGGATTGCGGCGAGGTAGGGGTGAATTCCACGATAACTCGCCCAACCCTTAGAATTGTAGTAAAAGATATAAAAATTAGAAAAAAAATAATGTAAAAAAATTGGGAAACACCATTGTACTTGTAAGAAATAAGTTTTAATATGATTTTAGTAGTTTCTAAGATGATTTGAGAATTTTTGTGTTTTCTCCCTTTTTAAATTTTTTGAAATATGCAAAATCTAAATCAAAATTTGCAATGATCCATATTTTATATTTTTTTTCATGACCTATAATGATTTCTACCATCTCTTTTATGCTTTTTTTTCTAAAAAAAAACATTAATTTTTTTTTTCCTTTTTTTTGAGGTTGTGCGTGACTTGGCAGATAGTCTGCTCAGATTCGATCGAGTGACTCACCTCGGCCATGGCCCGAGTACCTTGGCCAATATGAGTTCTAGAGTATTGCTTGCGAAAATAGCACCATGATCACTCAATCTAAAGTTTGTCACTGCATGCCGCTCAAAAATATTATCAAGGAATACTTGCAATCACATTTTTAGTAGTAAAATAGGCATGAAAGAGGACAAAAGTGAGCTTAATTTCACAATTGAAGTTTCCATGAGAATTGTTTAGGGACAAGCTTTCTATATCTCCCTTAGGAAAACTCTTGAAAACGCTATAGGCGATTTTGAACAATGTTTGGCCTCGCTATGGACATGCTATGCTATGTCCGTGGTGGTTTATTAAAAGGAGCTACAACTAACAACGCGTGGTCTATGGCGGTTCCGCGTGTTTTTGAACGCGTGGTCTATGGCGGTTCCGCGTGTTTTTTGACCGCCACAGACATGCTAGGTCCGTGGCGGTCTTTAATCCTCACTGTCCAAAAAATTCAAACGATGTCGAGCCTATGGGTGAAAACACTGTTTTATTTTCGCTTATAGGTGTGGCTTCCAAAACTTAAATACTTCCCCCTATCCAATCGTCCATTTTGAACGGACAGATGAAATGACCCTAATCACAATGTCACGCCTTTACACTATTTTTACTTTTAATTTTGTCTCTACAAAATATTTTAACACCAAATTTTGATTGTCCACTTCTCTCTTAAACTAGCACCTGTAAAAAATATAAAAATAATATTCTCAATCAAATAAAATGACCAAAAAGACCCTAAAAGTTTAAAGGGTATTTTAATCATTTAATTTTATCGAAAATATATTTTTAGGTGTGCCCTATTGAGATGATGGCACGTACCAAATTTCTTATTCATGTAATTTGTCAAAAAAAATAAAAAGAAAATACTCTCAAATCCAAATCACATGGTTAGTGACTCATTTAATCAAAATTGGATAGCTGGATAGAAGGTAAGTATATATCTTCCATAGTAAAGAAAATATAGAAACCTTTGTAAGAAACTATTTTAGTATGTGCGCTTGATTTCCTTCCAATAGAGAGAGCTGACAACATGCTTAGAGGAAAATCTGAATGGCCCAAAATCAGTCTCCTGTAAATTTTAGCATATGATGTCTCCAAGATGAAGTTGGTGCCACTACCACATGGATTTTGTACCATAAAACCCTTCCTTGTCATGATAAGTCGAAGCTGGTGGAGATGGTTTGGTGATTGACAATGGCGGAGCGGAGCGGTGATGGTGGTGGTGGCTAGGCGGCTGCTATGGAGGTTGTGATGGTGGCAGCGGTGGGGCTGTTGGCAGAGTAGTCGTAGTTGAGTTGAAGGTGATGGTAGTGGTGGTGTTGCGTAGTACTGATATTGGAGGTTAGAGAACAATAATGCTGGTGGTGGTAAGTGGAAAAGTGGGTGGTATGAAATCACACTAGACATTATTTTTCAGTCAAAAATAACAGCTCTTGTGCACACGCTCTAATTTAACCAACTTTGTGTCGTTGCATGTGACTTGAGAAGGAGAAAACCGTGAATGTGACCACCGACACTCCATTCATGTATTGCCCCAATTCAATCATCAATGGCCTGCACTCTATAAATTACCAACTATAAAAAGCATCACGTAACAAAACACAGCGCTCAATCCATTTGCAGTGTAAAGACAAAGTACACCTCTTTCTTGAGCAGAAGAAAAGAGCAGACAACTCACGCACACTCTCTCTCTGTCTATCTACATGTCTATAAAGAGAGATCAATACAGGCAAAAGCCTGTGTCATTTTATTAGCAGAACCACTGTTTCTGTTTCTCTCATTCTCATAGCCATAAGACCTGTCAAATAACGACAGAGCACAAAAAAAAAAAAGGGTTTTGTGGCCCTCTCGATTGTTTAATAATCACCAGTTGAAAATGGGCGATTCTGGTTCGAACCAGAACTGGTTGGATGGCAATCTTGTTCTAGTGCAGCCTTTGCTTGCCCTTATTGCAGTGTATACCTCGGCAGGCATACCCAGAACCAATTCACCTAATAGGTCCCCTTTGCCAATCTGTTACGAGAGATGAGGGACTATACTATTAGATTAGAGAAAGAATTGAACCCAAACTCACGGAAAGTAAAGGAATATGCCCGGTGAACCAGGTTCTACCACTGCAGCACCCAATCATACTCAAAAGAAGAGTTTGATCCTGGCTCAGAATGAATGCTAGCTATATGCTTAACAGTTCCCCCCACTACCCTTATGAACCTTCCTTTATTGTTAGAGGTGGAGCCTGATGTCCCAGATTTTGATTTTCTCCTTTGTTTTTTTTCTTTTATATCTGTAAGATGATCTTATAAATCCAGAGACTAACAAACAATTGGTATAAAATATCATGCACACAGATACAGTCCACCAACACCACCCAACAACCAGAACGATCATAAAAAGTACCAACTTCCAAGACTTGGGTATGCATGGAGAGAAAATCACATCGTGACTGATGCCTGAGTACGAAAGGGCGGCGATCGATCCTCATCTTTTGAAGAATTAACACACGCACACACTCACAAACACATACAAATGAATGCGATACACAAAAATATAGTTTCCATCCACAATGAATGACTGCACTCTTCATCATACATAAAAAATACATCTCCCCCTATCTGCAACCCAAAGAGAGAGAGATAAATCTCATATATTCTCTTGCTCATTAATCTTCTTGAGTTGTCTCTCTCTCTGGAATTTCCTCCCCTGTGATGGTGGTGGTTGTAATTATTTAATATATCAGTTGACCTCGTCACAGCGGCGGCGCACCTCGCCGTTACGCCCAGTCTTGACGCCAAGCACGCTGAGCTTCTCCATGGCATGTGCAAATGCATTAAAAAATTCTGTCTGATTCGCTGCAAAAAGATCGACATATTCCTTGGTGGTGGGATCGGCATACAAGCCCTGATCAGAAGCAAGCAACCCGAGGCCTCTCTTCAAATTCTGAAAATACATATTATCAAACTTATTTGGGGTCATTATATCATTGAAAACCGAGAGCGCAGGGTTGGAATTTAAGGATTTGCAGGCTTCTTGGAGGCCTTGTGCGTAGCGGGGATTGAGGGCGGGATCCACAGTGGAGGTGCGGGAGAAGTTGTAAATACGGGAAGAGAATTCCTTGCAATGAGAGAAGCCGATTGTGTGGGCGCCAGAGAGGGCGACCATCTCGGCAATGGAGAAGCCCTTGGACTCAAAGATGTTGGCCATCTGGGAGATAGACATGGAGGGAAGAGGAAGGTTGCCAGCGACATGGGATGCCATGGAGACTTTGCCATCCTTGCGGCCCAGACGCACCTTATAGAAGGGGCCTCCCACCTGCACAATGAAATCAACAGTGAGAGATTGTGGGTGTTTAGAGAGAGAGAGCACCAAGAGGGAAGCTTGAGTTCTCGGGCCGAGGGATTAAACCAAATTTCACAATTGGAAGCTGCCCTTTCAATTGAAAAGCATAGCTCAATTGGAAGGCATCCACAAGCACACCAGCAATCCAAATTTGAGCACTAAGGCTAGAGAGAAGATCAATGTTCAAAGCTCAATATGGAGAAAGAGAGAGACAGAGAGAGAGAGAGAGAGACAGAGAGAGAGGTTTGAGCAGTTGGGAAAAAGAGGGCATGGAAGTACACAGCTCAGTAGAGAGAGAGAATCCAAAATTAGATTGGGGCCTCATGGATCTGAAAACTAACGAGGTAGAAGAGTATATGAGGGCGGAGGGGAGACAGAGATAGGGCATGTGATTGGCACCACAATGCTTAGATCACAAACACACCAGGCGCTGCTAAAGATAGAAGAGAATGCAGAAATGCAATAGAGGGTCTGACAATGAAATCGACATCCTCCATTCCTCTTTCCCTCTCTAAATTGAAGAGAGAGAGAGAGAGGAAGGGGATTGAGGTCCCCATTATTCCTCCCTGGACAGCAACAAGAGAGAGGATCGAAGGGGGGGAAAGCTGAATGCCTCTCTATCTCTCTAGCTCAAGTAAAGGCCCACCATTTAAATCGCCATTGTTATTCCTCCTTAGGGTTCTCTGAGAGAGAGTGAAAGGTGCTATTTGCATTGCCCCTTCCAAGATCACCCATGTATCCAGTTATCCACAAATGCGAAAAGAATGACACAAATAGGGGGACAGGCTGCATGTCACAGTGGCCCTCTCTCTCTCTCTTCCCCCTGTATATCTATCTCTCTCTAAAAACAGAGCTATTCAGATTGCCCACTCCCCAACACACACTCCAGAGCCTCCCCTTTGTGATCACAGGTAGAAAAACCAGTAAAACAGAAGCAAACAAAGACAATGCGCGTGAGAGAGAGAGAGAGATTTCATCCACTGACCATGGTGATGAGGTTCCTGGTGGCAAGGGACATGATATCAGAGCACGATACAACCCCCGGGCACGACAGCTCCAGCGCCGACTTCGCCCTCACAATCACATCAAACCCATCCCCGGGCAGCGACAGATTAATGTCGGCGTCATTCTCCGCCTTATTGAAAGGTGTCGACCTCACCAGCACCGACGCATCACACCCCTCCACAAAGCAGTCGTGAAAAAACAGCCTCACCATTCCAGCGGCCGTCGAGGGGCTATTGATCTGCTTCTGCACCACGACATCTTGGACGATCTTCTCCACCTGCGGGCAGCTCTTCGCGTAGTAATTGGCATTGAGGCGAGCATCGGCGAACGCCACCACGGCCGCAAGCAATGACGCCACAAGTACTAGGCGCCGCAGCGATGCGTGGAGAAGCAGAGCCATTTGATGGGGGAGGCGGAGAAATGCTCTGCTTCTTCTCTCTCTGGTTTGAGTTTCTTGGGATTTTCTGGATTGAAGACTGTTTGTTTTTTTTTTTTTGTGGGGTTTTTGGAGGTGGTTTTGGTTGGGGTGGTGAACAGGTCAGAGAAAGTGGGGTTAAAATTTAGGGGTTGAAGGAGCGGGGATGGCGCTTGGCCGCAAGAGCCCGAGCCCGCACAAATTAATGCCAACGGGCGGGACACCTACATCAGCGCTCACCCTCTCTCTCTCTCTCTCTCTCTCTTCTCTCTCTCTCTCTCTCTCTCTACTCTATCTCTAACGTACTCACACGTACTACTTCTCTCTCTCTCTCTCTCTCTCTCTCTAACTTCTCCTTAAAATCCTATCTTCTAATCTCTAGCCCTTGCTCGGTGCTACCCTCAATAGGACCAGCACGGTACCGGGTAGGCCAATTTTGGGCTTTGGCCCGGTCCTTAGTTCTATCAAGGCTGTGCAAGGTCAAATAAATATCTATAAATGAAAAAGTAAAAAACGAAGGCTGAAATTGGCCGGCCCTATGCTAGGTCCTGCCCGACCCTACCCTTGAGTTGTGGTTGCCCAGCCCTGGCCCAGCACTAGAGCCCATTATGACCCAGATCCTAATTCTTTTAGGACCCAATAGTGCCGAGTTACCAACCCATTTCCACCCATCTTTAATTACGGCTGGCAACAGGCTGAGCCACACCTAGCCATAGCCCTCTGCTGATCGGGCCAAAAAGGCTTTGGCCCAAGTTTGCCATTGCCCTATAAGGTCTTTGGCCCCAAGTCCGAGCCGGGCTGGGCCACACGTACTCCGAATGTATTTAGCTATTTATTGCCCTAATTTGGTTATCCATGCTAGCTGGAGGGATCATGTGATCCTTCATAACAATCGCTTGTCCTTTCCGCGTAAGTCCGACCTTTCCGCATTCTTCCTCTCGTTATTTATTTTATTTTGCTTACATCAATTCTCATTTAAATAAGATAACGGTGAAATGCACGTAATAATTTTATGCGTTAACGAGAATGGGGCGGGCCTCGCAGTGCACTACTTGGATTTAGGCTTTCATTAACATCAAACACACTAAAAAACTACTAACGATTTTTTGAAATTCTGGTACGTGCTCATCATCCCCACTTAATTACTCAAAAAAATTATCATCTAACACATTAAAAATCATTAATAATTTCAAAAAATGTGTAGGCACTTGTCATCCCCACCGAATTACTCAAAAAAAATTAGCCTCACTTAATTACCCAAACGAATCTCACCAAACATTTCAAAAACCCACTACCGATTTCAAAAAACGGGTACGCATTTGTCATCCCCACCAAATTATCCAAAAAAAATTAGCCTCACTGAATTACCCAAAAAATTCTCACCTAATACTTTAAAAAACCACTACTGATCTCAAAAAACGAGTAGAGGCCCGTCACCCCCACTGAATTACCCAAATAAAATTATGTGTTAATGTGTGTGATGTACATAAAATATCAATATGTATAGGCATATGATTGTACTTGTAGATAAGGTATTTACACTATTCTTTTTTCTTTCAACGTGGTCTAGGGCTGGCAACGAGCCGGCCATGCCTCTAGCTTGGCCCTAGTCCTCATAGGGCTGGCCAAGGTTCAGCTCAGCCCTGATCAGGCCAAAGAGGTCCTACTTAGGCCTGCCAAGCTTGGCTAGGTTCTATAAATAAGAAAATAAATAAATCAAATAAAGGAAAATTGGGTTGAGTTGGGCCGGCCCTATCCTCAAGACCGGGTGGCCGCCCCTGACACGAACCCTACCTTTTCAGTGCCAAGCCACATTGCCTTCCCTATTGGTTTCGTTTGGTTTGCTTAGGGATACATTTATGAACACCGCACTAACGAGACCTTGTGTAGAGAAATGAAAATCCGATAATATTAAAAAAAATCTCAGTTTTCGTAATAGAAAATCCGGATATTCAGCATCCGGGTATGGACTAAATAAATGAAGGTACATTGCGTGAAAAGCTTACAAATGCCAGGTTATGCAATCTCCGATTGAATCTCCTAAATGAAGATGCGATCCACTTGGAACCACAAACTAATCAAGTGAATTTCTTTAAAAACGTATATATGGTTTATGCCTGTTATATGGCTACATATGCCTTGAATTTGTAGCGGAAAAGTATACAAATAATTGTGACACCTTTGTATCAAAAGTAAATGGTCTCCCTGTATATAATCTCATTTGTAGCATACGAGAAGCAAAGTGGTCGTGAGACATCACAAAGAGTGCTACCAGAAGCTGAACCTCCGAACTGGTCATTGATCTAGTCTCATTTGTTTAAAAATAAAAATAATAAATATAAAATATTTTACAAAAAAGTTTCCATCTAAATTTAAACCATCTAATCAGTCAAAACCGATCGTTCCAATCAACCGATTCTTGTCAAATATTTGTTTCAGCCAACAAATTCAATTATAGAAGCTTCAATTTTTGCATTGGACCAGATAGAGCTTAAACTATTGGCTGGTTTTAGAGAGAGATTACCCTTCTATTAAGGGTTAACTAAGAAACAAAAAGATGGGTCAAGTAGGAAATTGGATTCTTTGCCGTTTATATACGGTGTCAATTTTAAATAATCAAAAGTAACGCCTTCTTCCAAACTTTGCTAGATGAATTTTTTTTTTGGATAAGTCATTGGGGGAGACGGCCTCTACCTTTGTACGAATTAAGCTACATGTAGCGTTGCAAATCGTCAAGCGCTAACCAATTAAACCCCTCTTTTCCTCCGAAAGATGTTGTTCTAGTGCTGAAAACCTCTAAGATGACTTGAAAATCTACATCTACCCCTTATTATGATATTTAAAAGCTTAAAAAATGATGCAAACTACGAACACTTGAAAATATTAAAATAGATAATCCAGATAATACGTTACAAGATGTATTATTTTATAAATTATAAATCCTTTTTATTTTTTTTCATCTACATACATCTTGAGATCAAGCTATTCTTGGAGTGCCAAATTGTGGGTCCCATTAGCTTTTGTTGGTTTATGGAGAAAGCTTAGTTTCCATTTTGTGATTTTAAAGCCTTGATTTGTTGGTCAAACCGGGTGATGGGTAACTCAGTTCTAACTAACTTTGGTGATTCTGGGCCAGCATCACTTTTAAAACATTGATTTTAACAAAATGAAAAACCTTTAGAATAATTTGTGGGTGCTTTTGGAAATTGGTGCAATGACTAAAAGGAAGAGAAAAAATAATCTAAAGGGTATGGTTTGTATAAGTAAAGGGTATGGTTTGTATAAGGTTACAACTATATATGTAGAAATAAGATTGCGAAACTCAATGTCCCCCATTTTATTTAGATGTTGTAGATTTGACATATGTAATATTGTGTCACTGCATGATATGTCTTTTAAGATAGTGCCCAATCTATATCTTCTTAGTGAAATTGACAATGTAAATTATTACAACATTATTTTCATAAATAAGGTTGCAATCTCATATAAACTTTTTTCAAATTTAAATACTCATAAGAACTTTATTTGATGATAATCATTCCTCCGCCAGTGCATATCAGTTAGTTTCTCAAACTATAATTAAGCCTCTTGATTTCCTACTTGATTTTAGTGAGCACCCTTTGACATTGATTTTTGAGAAATTTATCAAATTACTAATTAGATATGAAGTATTTGACAATTTATCTATTTACAACCATACAAACTCATAACCATATATTTTTGTACGGGTATTTTGAAACGAATGCAATTTCTATGAGGTCTAGGCCTTATGAAAAAGAGCAAAGCTTCACCTCAAAACCTCATCCCAAAAACACTTCGGGCTTGGAAATTCCTATGATGGCTCAAAAATCTATTTCTACCATTGATTATAAAATTTGTAGCTCAAAATATAGTATGGATCACGGGGATCTACAAACACTTGAAAATGAACAGTCTAAATGATGTGTTATACTATACATTATTTTTGTTATAATATAATGAAACCATTTATTTTTGGTACCAGGAGGTGAAAATTACTTATAACCGTCCAATGTGAAATTTGATAGGTCGGGTGTGTCACAAAGTTTGAAAAAATTCATTTTTAATTTTTAGGTTGCTCGATGAAATAAATACATCCACTCATTTTCACATCCAACTATTAATATTAGTTATGACCACTTTATTCCAAAAACAAATAGTCACAATGTATACTTTTACCCAAAAACAAAGCTTTCTTGTTTGGTTCGGTACCCGAAGTTATTTATTATCTCATGGAAAAGGGTCCAAAATACCTGGATAATCCGTTAAAAAGAAAACAAAATTAATTGTATTTATATCTTTAGCTAATTTACGAGGAACAAAAATCTTCCAAAATTAGTCACTAGTTTAACATTTGTACTTTCTTCTTCCAGTTTACATAATAACCAAGACATAATTAAAAAATCCGTGTGTCAAAAACGAAAAAGACGTGATTAGAAAAATCCAGGGTGAGGTTTGTATCAGGTTGCCTCGTAGTATCGTAGAAAAAAATTGTGCCACTTTTAAAATTCGTTTCGAGATGTCATTCCAGTATCGGAAAATTAAAAAATCTATTTTCATCTCTAGTTATAAAATTTAATATCTAAAAAATAATATAGATTTATCGATTCAACACTTGAAAATCTTAATAATAGACGGGTCATATAACTTGTTACAAGATGCATTATTTTTTAGATTCTGAATTCTTCTTTTTTTTATATCCGTACCTTTCGAGGTTGAAATAATGAATTGGAGGTGCACTTTACTTCAAATATTATAAAGTTGCAACTCTATATAAACTTTTTCCCAAAAAATCTTTGTTCTATGTTAAGTACTAGTTTTGTGTAGGAAAAAAGCTTGGGCTTAATTGGTTAGTGCTTGACGATTTGCAATATTATGCCGTAGGCTCAATTCCAACCAAAGTAGTGGGGAGGGGGTAGTGGGGAGGTAGGGCCCCCTCCCCATCGACTCACAAAAAAAAGAAAAAAAAATTACTAGTTTTTGTGGGTGCTTCAATTGTATTATTATCACCCCCATTTTGTAGTTTTCTAGGTTTTTTGTAGTTTTCTAGGTTATATTACATTATATGTTGGCTCCTTCCTAGATAATCAATCAAGAATTGAGCCCATTGACCGGTGCCTATGAGTTGTAGAGAGAAATTACCAAAATCCATCGATTTTGGTCAAATATTCAAGAAGAGTGCCTCGCCTCA